ATGGCTCCACAGGGTCAATGCCAGGTCTAGGCCTCACTGCCGGCTGACCGCGGCTGCTGCCAGCCAAGGCCACTTTCTGACTCCTCGGACTTGTCAGCAGGACTGGAAACGGTGGCTTGAATTTAAACATTTAACCTGAGGGAAATTTCTCAGGGCTTCGGAGAGAAGAGCTGCTCTCGGGGCTTTCACAAGGGTCCCCAGTGCCCAAAGGTGACACACTCTCAGGGTGTTTACGTCTCGCTCCTGCCCTCGGCTCCATGCATTCTTGCTGGGGTGGCAGCAGGGGTGGCAGAAGAACAGAAAAGGGGGAAGACGCCAGCTGAGTCGGCCTCGGGACCCTACATGAAGGAGAGCCAGCCCCGAAGCGGCTCTGCCGCCCGTCTGGTCAGGGGAGCTGTGGGCTGCCAAGGCCAGTGACGAGGGCCAGGCTGGCCGAGGATGTTCCCTGACACCGTTTCTTACGCTCTCAAAGCAGCGCCCCGTTGCAAACACCGTTTACTTTAGAATTCCAAATGCCACAGGAAAATTCTTATTGACGATTACTGTAAAATAGGCAATCTTCCTGATGGTGACAGGACATCGTCCCCATCGCCAGCAGGAGACTGCTCAGAATGAATCGGAAGGCTGGGAACCGCTACGGGCAAGTGTCTCTACGCCCTGGCCAGTCGGAAGACCTGCCCAGGTCCAGCCGCCTTACCTCTCCTGTTGTAGATTTTCCCGAGTGGCCGAGACTTCCTTTCCTGGAAAGCTGGGCGTCTGTTTCTCTCGCTCCTCCGGTGCCCAGCCTGCCATCGCCGCTACCAGCTGCTCTTCCGGGAAACGCTCCAGGGCGGTCGACTCGGTAGCTTGTAGCTCGACTCGGTAGCTTGTAGCTCGCGGAAGCCCTCTGCTCGAAAGACTCCGCCTCCGAGCCAGGTGTGCCTGCCAGGAGACCTGGGAATGCAAAACTCCTTAGCAGGTTCGCTCTGAGGGAGGAAGACAACTAAATGGTTTTACAGGATCACGCCGAACACCTCGTCGCTCTTGTTATTCTGGCCTAAGAAACTCAAGCTTCACATGTCTCCTTGTGTCTTTTTTTCTCCCCTTCTACTTGTGACTAACGTCAGTGCTGAAAAAGGTCACAGTCCTGCCACCTCCCCGTAAACAAGCCAGGGCCTTAAGGCAAAGCGATGGAAGTCCCTTTATGACTGTGGACTTGCTGTGCTCCCTCCATGCGTGTGTGCCTATTGACATAGGTTACAGCCCTGCATAGCTCCGAACCGATGGAGCCAGGATTTGAACTCAAATCTTTCAGACTTGGGAGTTTAATACTGCCTTCCTGTGACTGCTAAATGCACTCTGTTTCTAAAATTCAGACTTGGGAGTCACTTCCTGTGACTGCTAAATGCACTCTGTTTCTAAAATTCAAGTCTAACTTGAACTAGGCTTTGGACCATAGACAAACCTTACAATGTCAGTCTCTTTTTAAGAAAGTAGGAAAATGCATCCCTGTAACATTTCTATCAACGCATTGTCAGAAAGTTAAACTTAGCGTGAAGTTTACCAGCTACTGACAGATACTGAAGTTCTTTTGCTTAGTCCCACCTCCACTTACCTGGCAAGTATTATGTTCAACCCTCTGAAACGAATGTGATTGTAGGTAAAACCAGTAAAATATCAGCAATTTCATGCGATTCAGGCTAACACCAGACACTGCAACTTGAAAGACCATAACTCTCCCACCGTCCCATCCCCAACCAACAATCCTTCTTGTCCAAATTTTACCCTCATGTCAAGGTCCTGCTTAAATAATGTCACCTCCTCCAGAAAGTCTTTGCTGAATTCCCATCCGGAAAGCATCTTTCCTGAACTCCCACAGCACCTTATTTGCATCTCGTCACCATCTTCCAGGCATCGTGGTTATTTGACTATACACGTGTACATGCTTTCTTGCTGAAGGGACCACGTCTGACTTATCCCTGACTCTCGACACGGTATCTGGCACGTTGTAGGTGCTTGTTGAGCTCAGCTACGTGACTTCCTGCTCTGTGTTGGGGCAGCGTCTGGCCCAGGAGCCCTCTCTGGGTCAGACTGAGCGCAGGGATCAGGTGAGGGTGACACCAGATGTGCCAGAGATAAGGCTCTCTCAGTGTCATTCTACCTCAGAAAAACTTCTCCCAGATCTGGCCTTGGCTTGGCTGGTGGAGCAATGAGCCACGATCTTGGTCATGGCCTTGTGTACAGTCTTAGGATGTGGTGTGCCGGCTGGCGAGCCAGGAGACAGGCAGCTCTGCATCTTCCCCCGCCGCCGACGTTCTGGAAAGGGTCCCCTGGCAGCCCTGACCCCCCAGGCCTGGCTGAAGTGGAAGGGATTCGTGAATTTGTATTTCCTCTGGAGAGGTGAAATCCTCCCACGCTGAAGCTGCTCTTTCCAGAGAATGCGGATGGCAAAGCAGCGCCGCTTAAACTCAACAGGCCCCACGTCCCATCTCCCAGGTTCCCCTCCCCACCCAAAAGCATGACTGAAAAAGGAGGCGGTGTGATTTTGAAGGCCGACAATCCTCGCTACTTTGTGGACAGTCGCCCAGGGCAGACTTTCTAGATCTAGGCCAGAGCGAGGAGGTGGGGGAACGCAGGAGGAGCTGGGCTCCTGGGTCTGCCACATACCAGCCGCTCAGCGGTGGGCAGCGGGGCCCCTCCTGATTGCTCTGCACCCCACTTTCACCACAGGCCAAGGATCCACACCCCACTTTCACCACCAGCCTAAGAGGCGGCCCACACCCTTCCTCTCTCCCAACCTTGCGGATGGCACGGGTGATACTTTTGAAGATGGTTTTGGGGCACAAAATACGACCCAGACACACGTAACAATACTTTGCAAAATCATAAAGAGCTGGATGGGTGTGAGGGCTCGATACTGTCCATTCCTTTAACTCACTCGCTGAATGCCTGGGGCCGCTGGGGCAACGTGAGTGGCGCCGGGGCCCGGAGAGAAGCGGTCCCCGTGCTCGGGAAGTCGGGCGGTAATGACGCCAGGCAGACACAGGCGTGTGGCGGCGTCAGGGACGGGGTGCTGAGGAGCTGGCGAAGGGAGGGCTCCCTGAGCAGAAGCCTGAGCGACAGGAATTTACCACCGGAAAATGGTTAGGGCGGGAAAGGAAGGGCTTTCTGAGCCCAGCAGCAGCACAAGCAAAGGCCGAGTCAGGGAGCCGAAGGCACCCCTGGGGCCCTCGACCGCTGAGCCTGGCGCAGGTGAGGGGCGGTGAGGGGGGCAGGGCAGGTCATGAGGGCCTCGCGGGCCAGGCGAGGACTGCGAGTGAGCCCTGGGGATGAGAGGGCGGCACTGAGCAGGTGTGGGGTGCCCCGATCCCCCGGAGCGGGGGGCCCAGTGGAGAGCCAGCTCCATCAATACGGAAGCAAGATAATGGGGTGGGGGGGGCCTGGTGAAGAGGATGGAGAAACGAAGAGGTATTCGGAAGCTAAATGTAAGGAACTGGATGGAGTCAGGGAAGGTAGGAGGCTGGGATGACCCAGCGCCATCCTCAGGACTGGGGATGCGGGGGAAAGTCAGGGTAGGAAAGATGAGCTGTTTTGGGTGTCCTGAGCCTCTTTCCTTTTAAGTTAGAAATAGCTCCCCTGCTCCTGTTATACCATTAATTTGTTTCATTGCAATTTGCTCTGTTGAAAAAAAAAAAAAAGACATGCACTAAACTATAAAACTGAATAAAAATTCTCTTAATTCTGCTACCAAGACAGCCAGTTAACATACTGGTGAATGTTCTTCCAAATCTTTTTTCTGTTCTGGTATATAGGATTTTAAAAAACACAATTAGGAATAGAGAATAATACTGTTTCAACAACTTCTCTGCTCAGCGGCATCCAGTATCAGTACAATCAGAACCGCTGGGGCTGGGGACCAGGCACTGGTGTTTTTCAAAGCTTCCAGGATGATTCTAAAGGCACAGCCAGTGGGAGAACCAGCACACGAAACAGCATCCTGGAGACAAAACTGTAGGAGAAGAGACGGAAGGCTCCAGAAAGAACCCTAGATCTACATAATAACAAGAGTCCGTGGCCAGAAGGCATGTGAGACTTCCACTGATGCAGACCCAAACACAGTGTGAAGAGCTGAGGGAAGGGTAGTATTTTTGGATACTCTGCTAGACCCCAACCAAAGCTTCACCCGGGGTGACGGTTAGGTGGTGGGGAGCCCCCTTCAGTGGTCATAATACATAAACACCTGGAGCCACGGGCTCCACAGCTGGTCATTAGTACCGAGGATGCTGGTAGCCACGGGGCCCGGATAACTTCGGGTACCGGCAAGAAAGGGTTATAAACTCCTGAAACAAGCCTTCACCTTCTCAGGGAAAGGAGGCGAGCAGGGAAAAGAGAGCCTCCGATTCACGGTAGAGCTTCGAGTCCAAGAACTGTAAACACGGATAGGCTGCCAAATCTCACTCTAAATATATCACAGTGATCTCATGTTTTCATATGCAGTGGAATAAAAAGAGGCACTTTGATTCATCTTGGATGACAGCATCTTGGGCTTTTATGGGCGCCTCATGAAGTATTAGTTCAACCCAGAGCTGCAGTCGATATTTCAACCATTTAAAGTCACTGCAACATGCACGTTAAATGCACTAAAGGACAATTATTTACCTTCTTGCAAGTCAGACCCTCAGGGGTGCTCCCGAATGCCAGCAGCAAACACTCCACCCTCACAGATGCTCGGAGGGGGCCTGGCCAGGATCTGGAGGGAGCAGTGCGTATTCTGAGGTGATTAGCGTTTCGGTTTTGGCCTCTTAATCCGCATGAGCCTCATCTGTTACGTGTTTTCTCTTTGGCCAGAGAGACCACATCCAATGTCCCAGAGGAGAACGCTGGAAATTTTTCTGAAAGCCCTTTTAGGTGAAGCCCAGTGAAAGGGCAAATGAAGCCTCGCTCCTTTTATGGCCGAATCTCGCAGGGCGGGAGGGTGGGAGGGAGAGGGAATGGATCTCTGTTCTCCTGAAATCTGTGGAGGCTGAGTGTTCCTTGGCCCTAAGAGGGTCAGAGAGTTGATTCTAAAACCGGGGGCCCTCTCAGCAACGCCTGGGGCGACAGGACCACCCAGCACCTCCGACCCCGGCCCCCGCTTGCCTTCAGCCCCTTTAGAGTCTGCGCTCCTGCCCTGTCGAGCATAAATCAAGCAGCAGGCTAGCCTGGAACCATGACGAACGCCTTGGCAGCCTCCTGCTGGAAGAGACAGGGGGAGGAGAGGGAGGCTGAAGTAACCAGGCCTGGGCGGCAAGGGCGCCAGAATTGAGTGTTCCTGGAGCTGGCCCCGGCTGCTCAGACAGGGGCTGCCAGGGGTCTCCCCCGGGGGCAGCCCCGCCGCCCCGCATCCAGAGGAGCTGGGAGCTGAGGTGTCTGTCGAGAACATTATTCACAAATTCTTGGACACGGACACCTCTGAGCCCTGACTGTACGCATGGAGATGGGGGCTCAGGGAAAGTCTGGTCTCGGCTGGGAGGGACCTTGTAACAGCCACGGGTTTGAGTGTCGCAGGGATCTCTCCCGGGGGTGGTGTGTGACACCCCTGTGCACGTGCTGGGGCTGATGACGCAGGAGAAGCCACCCGCCCCTGCTGGGGACCCTGCTGAAGGGCGCCTCCACCCCCGGGTTTGGGCCTGCTCGGTGCCGAGGCTGTCAGCGTCGCCCTTTGTTTACAAGTCCCACTAGTTCCCCTGTCCCCTCAGTTAATTTCCCGCAGGTCAGGACCCGGCCGGAGCAACTCTCACGCCGCCTGCTCTGCCCTCCGCACCAGGCCCTGCCCAGTGGGCCAAGCCAGGGTCCTAGGCCTCGCCCTCCTGCCTGCGCGCCCCGCCCTGCCCCGCCCATTTGTTTTGTTCTTGAGTCCCGAAGAGATCATTTCAGTCGCCAGACAAGGCTCCAGGAACTTGCACGTGGTGAGGGCCGCAGAGAAGAGCTCTGGTCGGGGTCCGGCCTCAGCTGTGACAGGCCCTGAGCGCACGTGTTTCAGAAGGGCTGCCTCCCTAAAACCGTTAGGCACGTAAAAGTATCACGCCTCTCTCCAAAACGTCAACACTTAAAAGCATTTTTTAATTAAAAAAATCTTTTATTTAAGGGAATCAGCACCGCGAGAAGCTCACTGCGAGAAGATGCCACGTGACTGGCACCCGTTCTCCTCCGGTCCCCCAAAGCCCCCTCCTGCCCGCGGTGCCCGTCCTCCGGGCTCCTGGAGGAGCAATCAGCTTTCCTTGTGGCAGGGGCAGATCACCAAGTCAGGCGTCCGTCCAGGGGTTTCCTGTCCCCAAAGCCGCAGTAATGCGAATCCATTTTTCTTCAGAAGAAAATAAAACTCGCAAGTGACATCGACTGAAAAAATGTTCTTTCGGAGCAAGTTATTTCCATTTAAAGCTAAGCACATGACAGCTGGTGACTTTTAATGGAAAGTAAAATTTGCTGGGCTGAATTACTATCAAACCACTTGAGATTTTGTGTTTTTAATTTTCCTTTTTGGAGACAGGCGGTGCTTTGGAGTCCAGAAGAGCAGATGAGGAATGGAAAGGTCTGGTCTTGTCTCTGATTAAGGTCTGTGACCTTAAAAGACCTGGGCGATCAGCAGGATCATGTTCAAGTATCGCGGTGCCTTCACTTCTTCACCTTTGACCTGAAACTCAAAAAGCTTCTTAGAAAACAAGCCTCGCGGTCCCACCGTGCGTTCAGGCTCCACACCAGAACGGTTCACGTGTTCCGAACACGCTCCGCCATTTCCCCACTTAACGGAAAATATCTGTGGCGAAGGCAGCCAGTGGGTATTTGCTGTTGACTAAGCGTTTGTGTCCTTCCCAAATTCCTCCTTCGAAACCCGAACTCCTAAGGCGATGGCGGCTGGAGAAGCCTGCAGGAGATGGGGTTGAGATGAGGTCACGAGGGTGCGGCCCCCGTGATGGAATCGGTGACCTTTTCAGAAGAGGACGTGACCAGAGCACGCTCGCTCTCCCCACCATGCGGACCCACGGCACGACGACGGCCGTCCGCCACTCTCGGCCGTCCTCTTTTTGGATGTGTCTCCTCCGGCAAGAGAAACAAAGGAGAAAGTAAATGACGGGACCACGTCGAACGAAAAAGGTTTTGCAGAGAGATGGAAACCACCAGCACGATGAAAAGACGACCTACTGGATGGGAGAAGACATTTGCCAATGATGCATCCGGTAAGGGGTTAATATCGACACTATATAAGCAACTCGTGCAACGTAACGCCCCCCAAACAAACAATCCAATTAAAAAGCGGGCAGGGGAGCCGAGCTGAAGACAATTTCTCCAAAGAGGACACTTAAGAGACCTGAGCGGTTCGGCTCTAACCTACTTTCCCAACTTTATGTGCTGCCATTTCTCAGTGCGAACTCTTCCCAGCCTCAGCCGTATGCTTCCAGCGCTTGCTTTCGGCCCTCTGGCCCTTGCTGCCCTCCACACATAAATCCTGCCTCTTCTTTCCCGCCTGCCCCGGTCTCTCGAGGCCTCGGGGCAGTGCTTCTCCTTCTGCACGTGCGGAGCACCCCCGGGTCCAGCAGGTGCAGGTGGCGTCTCAGCCGTCCGGGGCTGTCTGTGCCAGCCGCTCCAGGTTCTGCGTTGGCAGCGAGGCTGTGGAACTCCAGGGACTGGATCCTGCACAGTGCGGGGCCCACAGGGAGGCTGTGGCCTGGCATGGCCATTGGAAAAAAAATTACATTTGCATGTCGACAGCGTGTAAATTTCTTCGGCTAGAAACTGTCATTAGCAAGAGTCATTAAACCCGGAAGCTGCTGGGGTGTTCTTTCAGTCACGTAATAAATCACAACATTATTTGCGAAGCCGTTGTGCTGCTAGTACTGGGCACCAAAATTGCAACTTACAGCTGAGAGCCAGGGGCCGCCCGGGTGCAGAACAGACCAATCGGTTTGGGTCCTGGCTCCACCCCTTGCTGAGTGACGAGGCAAATTCCTTAACCTCTCTGACTTGTCCTGTTGTAATTTGGGAAGAATTATCCCTCCCTCCTGGGGTTGTTATATGAAAAAATGAGATATTCTGTATAAAATGAGTAATATTATATAACCGAGGCATCAGTGATCATGTGAATCCAATTCCTACGTTTTGGAGAAATACATTGGGAACTTAGAACAGTGTCTGTAGGGACATAGTGAGACACAGGGCAGGACCAGGGATGGTAGGCAGGAGGCCAGCTGCTTCATCACCTTTGCCTGGGGGTGCGGGTCTTGGTGATGGAGGGGGCAGTTGCCCCCAGACAGGAAAACGTGTCTTTTCTTCCCAGCGACCTCCCTGGTCTGACCTCACTGTTGGATGGTGACCACTCAACAGGCCCTTGGCCGTTCCCAGTTTCTCGTTTGCTCCTTCTCAGCTCTCGTGTTCCCACGAGACCGTGAGCGTCCTTGGACAGAGACTGCCCGCCACTCCACAGGCCCTGGCGCAGAGCAGGGCGTCAGCATATACTAGTCTTTACTGAACTCCCCCAGTACATACTTCCCAAGAATAAAAGAAAGATTTCTTCCTAGACCGACTTGCTAACCAACAAATGGATAATTAAAATGTTGCAAGGACGTCAATGGCATAGGTCCAAAGGGCTGCTTTTCTTAAGCTCCGCAGAGGTGCAGTGGGTTACGTTCTGGACAGCGATTCCACAGCTCAGGGCAGATGGAAGAACAACAAGTACAGAAGGGAACTTGACTCGAGCGAGACTCTTGGCTTTGTTTGGCAGCTGTTTACTGGATACCATAGTAGCACGTCTCGCCCGGGGTGGTGTGTGAGAGATGCCTGCGTGAGCCAGGCAGGGAGAATGGAAACGTTTGAGAGCAAAAGCCTAATTATTTCAAGACACATCAAAACAAAAGCGACGAGGAAAACAATCTGGCTGTAACAGTTCGTGAGAATTCGGCACCTCTTCAGGAGCTGGTTCTGCTAACCCAGGGAGGACAGGGCCCCGAGGGAGGCGGGGCAAAGGGCCTGCTGTGGACCTTAAACTGACCCCGAGGAGGCAGCGGCCTGGCCTGCGAACCTCCCCGCTGACTCGAGAACCAGCAGGGGCCCGTGCGCCGTTTACCCAAGTAAAGGAACAGACCGTTCCCTTTGCTGACGGGCGCCAGGGCGGATGCTACCCTGGGCATTCTGGCCACAGGCAAGGCCAAAGCTCGGCCAGGGCGCCAGGGCCTTGCCAGTGCACCCCAGGCTCTGGTTTGGGGGGATTACATCTTTACGGCTTGTGGGCCATACATTTTCTCCTTTTCAATGAAAACAAACAAACAAACAAGAAAAACTCCACAAAGAATTGGTGTTTCTTTTGAGACGGTTAATACCACATGGTTGTACTTTTAGCAGAAATCTCGAGATTTCTCCGTTATTTTTTCTTGCTACATCATTCCTTACCAGTGCATGTCTTAAACGTGACCTGCCTTTTCCTTTCTTCTTTCTTTTCTTTCTATCCCTTCTCACCTCTTCACTTTCTCTTCCCTTAAAAAAAAAAAAAAAATTATTATACACCAGAAGTCCAGAAGCGAGGCTCTTCTAGGGTTGGGTTAAGTCAGCAGCACCAGGTGGTCACTAAGGACCTGGGCTCGCTCCATCGTTCCCTCCTGCTCCGTGAGACAGCTTTGCTTTCAGGCCAGCTCCCCTCTTGGTCATAAAATGGGAGCCTCAGTTCCAGGCACCACATTATAACACCTAGGTGGGTACAGAAAATGGGTGGAGAGAACTGGTCACCAGACTATAGGGAGCGGTGGGGACTATGGTGAACTGGATGAATGGCCCTACCTAAGGCACTCAGTACGATGTTTCTTGTTGCTTCTAAATGTAAGTGCATGGTTGTGAGCAACTGAAACGGTCATTGCTCACATCTTGCAGAAGTCAGCACTGAGCTACCCCGGATCAACGAGGGCGAAGGCTCCTCGCCTGGGCCTCGCTGCTCCACAGCAGCTGGGAACTTTGTTGCTGCTGAGCCCAGTGCTCGGCCTCCTCTGCAAGACCGCACTCTTCCTAAGAGTTGGGGTGATGCCCTCTCCTTTCTTGCCCTCCCACCTCCCAGCGCATAGAATCATGTTCCCAAGGGCACCCCGTCACATTCGCAGGGATGAAGCTGCGTACTCACAGCGCAGGATGGATCCGCCAGTGCTTCCTTCGAATCCACGTTCTAATTTCCAGTGGTTCTCGGTGTGGTCTGCACACCAGAGCATCAACTTCACTGAGACCTTATTAGAAACGTACATTTTTAGGCTCCGCCTCAGATATGCTGAATCAGAAACTCGGGGGCCGGGGTGGGGAGGCAACTTGGTGCCCCTGATCGTTTGAAAACCACTGTCCCGAAATCTCTGTAATGCTTAGAGACCAACGGTATAAATATTGTCTTTCAACCCTGGCTGCACATTTATTTCATCTGGGGAGCTTTAAAAACTTATTAATAGCTGGATCCTCCCCCTCCCCAGTTTTTATATAATTGGTCTGTCCTGCAGCCTGGGCACTGGAATTTCTAAATGTCCTGGGTGATCTCAACTGGCAGCCAAGGCTGAGAACCACTGATCTAAGTAAACACGGAGACGATTATACCGTAAATGACTAAGTAGAAGTCTAAAAGTGAGATATATCCACAGACCAAAAAAAAAAAAAAAAAAAAAAGGAGAACAAGTAATGGAAAAAATAAAAGAAAAAAAGAAGCGAGACGAAGGAAGAGAGACGGTTTGGGTCAGACACTGTTGCAGATATCCTGCTGCTGTGACCTGAAGTAGGCTGGAAATCAGAGGCCCTCTGGGAACGAGTATATACAGATGTTTCTAAATTGCTGTGGGTCAGGGCTACGTGAAAAGTCCTCTTTACTCAGCTTGCTATGTTATGAAACACTCTCCTCATGTGACATGTTGTCTTAGTTGTTCTTTTTTCCTTTCTTGTGGGTTCAAAGGGAGTAGGTAAAATAAGCTTGAACTGTAGCAGAGAGCCTCCAGTCTCCACTGGATGGGAGACAGGGCCCCTATTAAAGTCCCTTTAATGCACAAGGCCGCCTGCCACCAGCCTGCTTGAAGGCCCAAGGGCAGCAATGGACTGCCTGAGCCATCATGAAAACAGAACACCAGCCTCTTCTTAAAGGAGGAAACACGTGAAACCAGAAGTCAGTCTCCTTTATGGAGGGCATCAGTTTTAATTTAGAAAAACCAAGGAATCACATACAATGTGATACCTAAGAGCAGTAAATTATGATTTGGAATGAGACAATGAGACACTGGACTTTGTTAGCTGGATCACAGAACCAAAAGTCTCAACTCAAATTGTACCAGCCATACTCTGGACTTTTTTTTAGGTTGTCTATCCCCCAAATCCAGGGAGATTTGACTGCACTCAAAAGTATAGTCATTTACCTCTTTCAAAACAGAAATTCCGACCCCATCCATACCTGTCCAGCGATTCGGGCTGCTTCGGCTCCTAACACGGCCACACTGCAGTTGGTGGCTGGAAGTGGTTCATCCACAGCCTGACTGTAGTCACTGTCTGGTGCTTACGATGTAAGAAACTCATAGTCAATCTCCAGGTTCTTCTTCCACACCCAATGGGAAAGGGTCCCATTTTTACATTAAAATATGAGTTTCTAGCAATAAAAACAGCAGCTTCAACAGCTTAATATAGATCCTAAATCTCTGAACCTAACTGGATGAAAAACTCAGCTTTGACAGTTAGGCAATAACAAAGCAAATCTGGCAACCGTTATTTCTGGATGAGTCTGGGCTGTGGACAAGTCAGCCCAAATAAATCAAATTTTTGTGTGCACCAAACCAAGCACTGTCCTCAGATTGTGATTTAGCAAATCTGGGGTGGTGTGCAGAAGCCATCATTTCAAACAAGCACCCCAAGTGGGTGAGATACAAGCCTTAATGATCAACGATAGTAAATGGGGGACCTTTTATAGGTGGCTTTTCTTCATGTTTTTCTCGACTGGCCAGTTTGTCTGTAATAAATACACCTGGCTTACTTCTTTATTTGGTTTCCAAGGTACTTCTCAGTTCACTATGATCTAACTAAGCGAAGACTCCTCTCTTGTTCTACTTAAAATCCTCCCATCACCCCTCATTCCATTCTCCACATCTGACTCCAGGAGCATAGTGGCAGGACACAGAGTAACAGTGACACCAGCTCTGACACTGACGATGCTTCCCGCTTGGCAGCCCCGCTCTGGGGCCTCAGACCTACGAGCGAGGTTTAGCCTCACGACTCTGAGCTGGGTTCTGTCGGTGTGTACATTGTAGAGATGAGAAACTTAAGGTTAAGTCATCTGCTCAAGACCATGCAGCCAGCAAGCAGTTCCGTGCTGAACATCTTCATTAAGCTCCACACGCACTCACGATTTCCCTGGGGCCGCCCAGACACACTCCGGCACGGCCTCACCTGTGTGCACGAGAGTCCAGGTTTTCCTGGTCTCACTGTAACTGGTATTATCTGGCTCTTTATCTTTTACCAGTTTGAGATCTGACAGCTCTCTGATGACTGACTTTGCCTTTCTCTACTAGTGAGGCTGAGCATCTTTTCACAGTTGACCCACACAGGCTTCCTTCTATAAACTGTCTGTTCATATGCTTTAGTGCATTTTTCTGTTGAGTAAATTTTCTCATTGATTTGAAAAATTCCTTGATACTCCTGATATGAATCCTGTTTTATAAACTCCACATAATTTCCTCCCAATCTATCACCTTATTTACAGCTAATATGACAACAAAATAATACTGAACAAGCCATTAGAACTAGGTAGGAAAGTTCGATAAGGTTGCCGGATGTAAGTA